AAAAAAAAGGATTGTCTCTATGTACTAAAGTGTAGTAATTTTTAGAATTTGTAGGACATTTCACAAAACATTTTGGCCTTGTTTCTTCAGAAAGTCACCATCCCAGCCAGTCGCCAAAAAAAAAAAAGTCACCATCATATGGGATTCTGGGAAGATGATAGTAATGGTGCATTATTTTTGAATTGCCCCAAATGACTGCATAAAAACAGAACTTGAATAGTATCTATAGCAAAACCAGTTTGCTGGAGAATGATAATGAGCTTCAGACAACCAAATTTACTACAGAGATACAACTTAAACTCTGATATGAGCATTAAATATTCATTTTCTTATAGACACAAGACTAGGTTAGGGTTATAAGGGAGAGAGAATAGTCTGTAATGGATATATGCTTTGACAGTGTAGATACAGTAGAACTATTACAGAATGGAGGAAGCATAGATGAAAATTATTATTTAAACTTTTAAATAATCACATCACTGGCAGTGTGTTATTGGTCTCATTTTCTAGAGATCGTTGGGCAGTGTGGTATATAAGGTATATTCTAATTCCTTATCCTGTGTGTCTTTGAGAACCAGGATTCTTAGTGGAAAAAAAGAGATACAGTTGTAAGAAGATGTTAAATAAAAATCCTGTAGACTTGATACTTCCAGTTGTCCATCAGTGGATGTTTAGGTTGGTTCCATACCTTGGCTATTGTAAACAGAGCTGTGATGAACATGGGAGTGCAGGCAGCTCTTCAACATGATGATTTCCATTCCTTTGGGTACATACCCAGCAGTGGGATTGCTGGATCATATGGCAGCTCTATCTGTAGTAGTTTGAGGAACCTCCATACTGTTTTCCGTAGTGGCTGTGCTAGTTTACAGTCCCACCAGCAGTGCAGGAGCTTCTCCACATCTTTTCTCCACATCTCTGCCAGCCTTTGTTATGTATTTGATAATGGCCATTCTAACTGGGGATGATATCTCAATGTGGTTTTGATTTGCTTCCCTCATAATTACTGATGTTGAGCATTTTTTCATGTACCTGTTGGCCATTTTTATGTCTTACTTTGAAAAATATCTATTCAACTCCTTTTCCCATTTTAAAATTGGATTTTTTTTTTTTACAGTGAAGTTGTTTGACTTCCTTGTATATTCTGGATATTAATCCCTTGTCGGATGTATAGCTTGCAAATATTTTCTCTCATTCTGTAGGTTGTCTTTTCACTCTCTTGTTTCCTTTCAGCTCATTTTCTTTGGCTATCAAGGAATGTAGACATATAAGTTACAAATAGTGATATATTTGCCTTCTCCTTTTCAATTTTTATACTACTAATTTATTTCTCTTTTATAATTGTGCAGCTAGGAAAGTGCTTCCCAATCATTTTCACATTGTGGCACATATAGAAAATTACAATGTTTTTAGTACACACTAGGGTAAACGGGAAATTCTATGTGAGGCCAGAGGTGATCAGCACAGGGTCTAATTATCCCAGTCCCTACCTGACAGATCTAGGATGGGTTGAGAAGAAGCCCTATGCCTCTCCAAAACAGTGTTTTAAAAAAAAAAAGTAATGATTATGAACTTGCTCATCTTGTTCCTGACTTTAGTGGGAATACTTGTATAGTGTTATCTCATTAAATCATGCTGGTTTAGGGATTGAGGAAGATATATTTTAGTTTGTTAAGGAAATATCCATGTACTCCTATTTTATCAAGAGATTTTAGTAAAAAAAAAAAAAATGGATATTGAGTCAATAAGCATTTCTCAAGCATTACTGCTGTATACCTGGCTTTTGGACTAAAACAATGAATAAAATGAGAGACACTATAGGAAAAAATAAAAGTTCAAACAGACTTTAGTTCAAATTCCATTTACACTGATATAATTGCTCTGTGATTTTAGGTAAACCATTTAATTATTTTGAGCCTTAGTTTATTTATCTGTAAAATGGAGCTAATGATAACTTGCAGGGTTACTGTGGTTTTAAGACATGCAGTCCAGTAGGATGAGATAGCCATATCAACAAGTAATTGTAAAAATACATGAAATGCCATGGTAGAGATGAAAGTGAGTAGTGATGGTATAAAGGAGTGATCTGCTCTGCCTAAAGAGGGATCCAGGGAAAACTACCTTTACAAAGGAGGTAGTTTCAAACTGGGCCCTGGAAGATAAATAAGGGAGAGGGGCACAGTACATGTGAAACTGCTTGATGCATTCTGGAATCTGCAGTTTGTTCAGATAATTAGACCAGAGGTAAGGGCAAATGACAGAAAAGACTGGAGAAGTACACACATTGTAGATTACAGAGGGCCTGTAGTGTTTGCTGCCCTGAAGATTTTGGACT